AAAAAAAAAAAAAAACATCAGCATAACATTGGAAACACTTCCAATCACCAATCTTATCTGAAATTTTTAAAGGTCGCGAAATTTTCGGCTTCGCTAGGGTTAAGATTGACGCATTCGATTTGGTGGGTTTGATCTGGTGAAACAACTTTTGCACTGGCCACTGAGTGCCACGTACGTTCTCACATAAGATCCTATATTAAAAATGTTTGAAATTGAACGAGAAGCCAAATCTCCAACTATGCAGAAACATGCATTACAGTGTGCCGGCGCTCTAAGATTCAGAAGCCTAGAACAACCATAGTTGTTTAGATGAACGATGATAACAAAATTCAACACGTCTGGGATTCCATGTGCTGAAAAGAACTTCTGCAAGTGGTAAATCAATTTAACATGATGCCTTGAGTTCAGGGCAATGGTGGAATGATTTGAATTGTGGTATTACGAAGGTCTGGAAATCCAATAAATGCCAACATTTGCACATGCAGATGCCTTTTTTACATGCTGGCAGTTGGCACAATAACTAGCACTTAGACATGAGCTGGGGTTTGTTCTCCAGCAGAACTATACAGAAGACATCATATAAGACTACTTTGATACATGAAATAACATGTTTCGAAATAACATTTTATACGAAAGTAATACGAGTGTTCCGCTAACTTCTACAGTGGACTTTTATCTACATCCAACGGTGCACCCTCTAACTAGCATAGGGAAGACAGGAAGTTAATGATTGTGGAGTCCCCCTTCAATTTTTATAAATTATGTATTGTGAATGTGCTAAATTATGAGCAGCGTCGAAATACCTTTGAACGGCTGATATCTGGGCTACTTATGCTATATGCATATCTATATTTGGGATGACACTAGAGATCAATAGCCGGTCTATGCTATGAATGAGATGGACTGCAGAGTTCTTACTCTTCCCTTTGATATGTTGTTAGCTACAAACAACAAAAACAACCTATTGTGAATTTGTAAATCAAGATGACGCCAAAGTTAGGGGACTCGTTTCTTTCATTCTACCTCTACAAGCTAATAAACCCTTGAACTCCTCCAAAACCATCCGTCAATTGATTCACAATCCATATGCTTCTCATCCAATGTCAAAGTCCCAATCACCACAAGTGACTTAGATTTACCTCTCTCAAACCATGTATCCCCACATTTTCTTCCGATAAACGAGTAACAAAACAACATAACCACAGAGAGAGCAAGAGAGACCAGCAAATGTTCAAATCGCGCAATAAAAACTCTTCACACCACAAAATTAGTGCTCAATTCCATCTGAAAACAAGGATTATAGAGAAACGGACGCACATTCAGAAAGAGGGACAAAAACAACAAAGGGGGACTAACCCGACGTCGTCACGATAGAGGCGATTGATGAGGACATCGCCACGAAGATTGAGGAAGTAGATTGCAGAAGCTGCCACGGGCATGGCTACGATCTCGAGCGAACTCCGATCCACTCAGATGAAAAGGAGATCTGATTTTCTTCTAATACGATCGGAAAATGGCTTCGAACGAGCTCTTTTTACATACAGTGAGGGAACGCTTTTTGACAAGATCAAACCTGAAGTTGTCAACTTGCCGAGTTTTGACCATTAGATCCGGGTTCGGACCGCCCAAATGAGAGATTCCGAATAGGGCTGCAAATGAGCCGAGCCGAGTCGAACATTGGCCTTATTGAGCAGGATTGAATTTTTTTTTAGTTGCTCGAGCTCGATTTTTTAGGCTCGAACTCGAATCGATAAAATTACAATAGCTCGAACTCGGCTCGAGCTCGACTCGAAATCAAAATATTCGAGCTCGGGTCGAAAATTTTTAAGTGAAAAGGTAAAATTACCATTACGCACCTATGTTAATATCACTGTTCTAAAAATCGGTCTAGGTAGTGCCCGGGAGAAAAAACGGTCAGACGGCTAGACAGGGCTAGGCGGCGCCTAGTCGGCCCTAGGCGCTCTTAAACGGACTTGGCGTCCAGGCGGTTAGGCGGCGCCTAGGCGGACCTAGGCGCTCCTAGACGGGCTCGGCGGCAATTTTTCAGTTTTTTTTTTTAATTTTTGTAAATACTAATTACATTATTTTGTTCTCATGTTTTTTTAAAATATATTAATTTTATTATTTGGACTTATGTATGTCGATTTATTATAAGTTGAGATAATTTTATTTTATATGTGGTTAAAATAAATAAAAAATAAGGTATTAATATTGATTTTTAGGTCCTGACTAGGCGCTAGTCGCTGGTCGAGGACCCAACGGGCGCCTAGCGACTTTTAGAACATTGACTAATATATGTAATAAGGAGTATTTTAGTAATTTAATGTGTATCTTGAGCCGCTCGACAAGGTAAAATATGTGTCGAGCTCGAGCGGCTCGAGCACGAGCTCGAGTCGAGCTTTGACTCAAGCGCTTATGAGCGGCTTCGTTTGCAGCCCTAGTTCCAAATAGCGTTGAAAACGGACGGAAACGGTCGGAAAAACCCCATTTCTACTTCTGTTTCTATATTTGTTGGCAGAAACGGGGTCGGGTTTGGAAAATTCGGGATCGGAAACGGACGGGTGATATTCGGATGCACGGAAACAAACCAATACGGACGGTAATTCAACGAAAACGGTCGAAAGCCGGAAACTGAAGCCGGAATAACGCCCATCTTCAAACTCTGAGATAGAGGGGGGAAAACGGTGCTTACCAGTAATGGATCCGCTGCTGATGTCTTTAATCGAAGGTGCTGGCTCCGGCGGGTCTGGCAACATGATCCCCAAACCGAGATGCTTGTCCGGCGGCATCGAGAAGGCACGGCTTCCTCTACCACGAGCTGCCGGCAACGAGTTGGAACGAGCAAGATTTGACATGGCCGAACTCAGCAGGACCGGCGTGGAGGCGTTAGGGCGGCGGCCGGCGACTGCCTAGAGTGTGGCCGGGTGGTGTGGAGGCGAGACCGCGCGACTGCGAGAGGGTGGGGTGGCGGCTGGCGTGGACTGGAGGGAATGGGGAATATTAGGCGGACAGGGACAGGGTATTAGGGTTTTTTTAATGGGCTATTGACTGTTGGGCTTGGGCCTTTTAAATTGAATATGTTAATGGACCTGACATCCGGGTGAAATCCGGTACTAATCCGGAATTATTCCGACAAAATACGGGATTTCGCAAATACGGACGGAAAAATTCTGTTTCTACTTCCGTCCGTATTTCGACAACCCCTTTACCGTATTCCGTCCGATTCTGGATTTTTCCGAAAATACAAAACCGGACGGGTGAAATGTAGAAAAACGGGCGGGAAATTCCAGGAAAAATTCCGTCCGTTTTCAACCCTAGTTCCAAAAACGGGCTACATGGTACTGTTTTTCGAAATGACAAATCTACCCCATGTTAGTGTTATTTTAAGTTACGGTTAATATTTTGACTCCGGTACTATGCTAAAATTCTAATTTTGTTTCTTGTTCATTTACTCACACTTACTATTCATTCAGAGTGTGCTCTTGGATAGCGTTGAAAACGGACGGAAGCGGTCGGAAAAACCCCATTTCTACTTCCGTTTCTATATTTGTTGGCAGAAACGGGGTCGGGTTCGGAAAATTCGGGATCGGAAACGGACGGGTGATATTCGGATGCACGGAAACGAACCAATACGGACGGTAATTCAACGAAAACGTTCGAAAGCCGGAAACTGAAGCCGGAATAACGCCCATCTTCAAACTCTGAGATAGAGGGGGGAAAACGGTGCTTACCAGTAATGGATCCGCTGCTGCTGTCTTTAATCGAAGGTGCTGGCTCCGGCGGGTCTGGCAACATGGTCCCCAAACCGAGATGCTTGTCCGGCGGCATCGAGAAGGCACGGCTTCTGTTGTTATGTGATTCTTAACAACGATGTAATTTATGATTAAGCGGATAATTGTGAATGATTTGGACGTAAAGCATGTAAGATTTACTCAACAATGGCCCCGGTCCGAGGTGAACCGAGGTGAAGAGCCGTGATGGGCTTTTACGTGTTGCTTAGTAAAGTTTTTTCAGTTCGGAGAGAGATTGAGAGCCCCCCGTACAAATGCCATGGGTACACTATTTATAGTAATTTTCGGGTTGATACATGGGGATCCGTGCATTGCTTTTTCGAATAAAGTGGCTTTTTATGGGCAGTTTGAGGCAGGGGGTCCCACATAAATGATGACAGATCTTGTGGAGCAGGAGAGTTTCTCGTAGGCACCTTGTCACCTGCTTAAGGAGGTGACGACCTCGGTTCATGTTGACCTCGGTGGGTGTTGACCTCGGTCTTCGGTAGTTCGGTCCGGTCTGTCGCCTGAACCGGGGTGGTGTTGGTAATAACGTCGGTTCAATGATCATCTTCCTTCTAATGCGTCATCTGGAATTTCTTAATGCAGGTTTACCGATCCGGATGTTAACAGAGAGGCCCCCAACATCGATGGGCATACGAAGTGATGGTCGTTGATGTTGCTATGTCAGATATTTAGGGGCTCTGGATCGGTAAGAAGTCGGCGGTAGGACATGGTCTATGGTCTTCGGAGGGTCATCTTCGGTCTATCTACCGATGTAACCGAAGTGGATCATCTGTCCGAAGTGTAGACTGTATACCGAGGTGAAGACACTTGGAGAATTTTTGGATAATCTTCAAGCAGTTAACGACAGAAGTGGTGAACGGTCGTAACGGTCAACGAGTAAATGTTTAGGCCGAACGGTCGCGCCGTAATGGTCTTAAATGAGGTAACGGTCGACTTTAATAGGCAGCCACGTGTAACAGTAGGTGTCTCATCAGATGGAGGGGTGGCGTCGGTTAGAATTAGGGGTCGCGTCGGTTCGACGCGCCCCCAATGACGATACCCAACGGTCACAAATTGACGATTATAAATAGGGTTTAGCAATATCTGATCGGGTTTTCTTCACCTGTGCTTTTATTCTCGAGCTTTCATATTACTTGTTGTTTGAGTTCATCTGATATTCTGAAGAACCTTCCCTGCTTGCTGTGTGTGAGATTTTCGGTAAGCTTTTTCTTCAGTTTCTTTTGTTATTTCTCTTGTATTTCGTTCAATCGTACGATGGCGTCGAAAGGAAAGGGAAAGGCGGTGGCAAGTTCATCGAGCACTGAGTCGGTTCCGTTGGATGTTTATCACGATTCGGAATTGGTCGAGTTGGCCTTTGAATACCATCGGTGGGACCCGTCGTTGGTAAGGCATCTGAATATCCAGTTAAACGACGAGGATGGTGACTTGGTAGTTGAGCATAATGCAACCGACCTCGCGGTGCCTCATTGGAGAAGACCGGTGAGGAGGTGGCCCGATCCGGCGATTGATTTCATTGGCGAGCCAAGTATTCTTACCGACGCTGACGTCGTCATGTTGAGAGAACAAGTTCGGATTCCCCCCTCGGTGAAAATCTTTGCTCCTTATCCCGGGGAGAGAATAACAAGTCCCCCTCCTGGTTGCGTGGGCGTTTTTGCGGAGAGTCTGAGGTCGGGATTAAGGTTCCCGTTGCCAAATTTCATCACGGAATACCTCCGGAGTTGGGAGTTACCGTTGTGCCAAATCACGCCGAATAGCTGGAAGAAGATAATCGGGCTAATGGTGTTGCTGCACGAGAGGGGTGAGGGACTTCCGTCGTGCGATGAGATGAGGAGTATTTTTGCCTTTAAACAAAGTCCGAAGAGGAGGGTGGCCGAATCGTCTTGTTGCTTTTTCGCCGGGGCGAAACCGCAACATGGTGTTAAAGTTGGGGAAATTGTAACTGAGATTCCGGAAAGTCTCCACGGTTTCCAGGAGGAATGGGTGTGGATAGGCGGAGAATGGCAGTCGGTGGACTTCTTTCATGAGCGCCGAATTGATGGGATGACAATTCCCATGTTAATTCATTCCGGAGCCAGTGAGTTTACTTTCTGTTTTTTCAATTCGGATATGCTTGTCTGATTCTCGTATTGTTCTGTGTACTAACAGGTCGGAACTTTTACTCTGTTGTAGAAAAAGAGACGAAGCAAAAAGAACCGAAGTTAAGTCCGGAATTCGGTGGGAAGTTGATAACCTTGGCCGGTTTGGATAAAGCAGAGAGGGATTATCGCAAGCTTGTAGTAGACTCAAAACTTGAAGCGGCCGGTTTATCTCTGGGTGTCACGACATCAAAATTTGACCCCGGTAAGAGAATTTTAGCCAATGAAGATGTCGAATTTTTTCGTATGTATGGGACAGCTGTTTGTAACTCTTGTCTCTTGTTGGTATGCAGTATATTATCCTCTCCTCGGTTTCTTGGGCTACAACTCTGTTAAGGAAGCCAAGGAGTTCAGACGTAAATTTCCAAACAAAGACCTTCAATCTAAAGTCGGTAAGAGCCGGGATTTGAGACTAAACGACGCTATGAGGAGGGATCTTGTTCGCGCATTGGTGAAGAAAACAGCTGGTCAAAAGAATGCGGGAAAGAAGTCGACCGAGGTGGGGTCGAGTGCCACTTCGGCTGCCATGCCGGAGAGTCCAAAGTCTGTACCCGAAGTGGCGACTACCGAAGTGTTGTCGGTAGTGGAAGCTGTGGCGATCAATCAGGCCGATCCGGAGCCAATTATAGCTGGGACCGAAATGGTTACTATTGAGGCTGCCCACACCGAGGTACCACCAGCTTCTCCGAAGTCGCTTGAGTTGGAGCAACCAGAGAAGAGAAAGAAGAGGAAATTGGTGAAGATGGCGGACGTCGGTGCTTCGTCCGGAGTCGAGAAAAGGTCCAAGAAGAAGCACGACTCCGGTCGTAAAGCGACTGAAAAAGGTACTGATGACTCTCCCTTGTTTGAGAAGTCTTTTTTATCAATTGATGAGGAACGGGCCGCCAGAGTTAAGGTGCCTGAGGGGGTGGTGGAGGATTGGTTTACCACCTTTTTGTCGGTGAAGTCCCCTCACATGTCATCGAGAATCGAAATGCCGGAAAATGCGAGAGATGCTGCTCGGGTCCCATTGATGGTTTGGGACCCCAAATCCGAAGTGGGGATTTCCTCTTTGTCTAGTGTTGACAAGCTGAATTACGCCAAGGCATGTGTTGGCCGAGCCTTGGTCAGTTTAGTAGCAGCCGAGGATGATCATCGCCGGGTTGCGTCGCAGCTGGAAGGAAAGAAGGATATCATTGCGGTGCGTGACGCAGCGATCGTCCAATTGAAGGAGGAGTCTACAAAAATGGAGGCCGATTTGAAGGGCCAGATTGCTGAGAAGACTGCCGAGTTAGAGAAGGCAAAGGTGGAGACGTCGGCATTGTCCGAGGAGAAGAAGACCTTTGAGGCCGAAGTGGCCGATCTCAGAGCACGTCTTGCCGTGGTGGAACAGCATTTCAAGATTTCTGAGGCTAAGCTGGCGGAAACTGAGAGGGCCTTATCGGAGGAGAAAGTCAATCATGAAGCAACTCCGAAAGAGTGCGCTGAGACTCGCGAACTTGTGGGTCGGCAGCACGACGCTCATCAGGCCGATATAGCCAAGCTTGAGAAGGAGAAATCTGCTTATGGAGAATTCATGTATGAGAATGGATTTCAGGCCGGGAAAGATTCGGTTATCGTGGAACCGAAGTCCGGGGACAATGCCGAGGTGGATGCTGATGAGGCCGGTGAAGAGGATGAAGCCGGTGGTCCCGACCTCGAGATTGAGATGAATACTTGCTTGAACCTGAGGTGGATTATCGAGCGCTACGACGCCGGCTATTACGATATTGATGACCTTCGCTTGTTCCTCTTCCACAAATTGGAAAAGTACGGATTTGACTCGGAGATTAAGGGGATGCACGTGGCGGCTGATGAAGACGAACGGGAATTCTGTGTGTGGATGCTTCGCCGTTCAGAAGAAATGAATGCAAACCCAGATTTGCCACCGCTTTCCGAGGATAG